TGGAACGGCCCGTTCCAGAGCTATGAAAATCCAAATTACTGATTAATAAATAAATAAATAAATAACGTATATATATATCAAAATAAAATATCAATACAATTTAAAACATGATTTTCTTCAAATAATAATTATAACAAAAATATCATAATTAATAATATTATACAAAATAATTTTCATAAATGATTATTATTAAAAACCTTTAAAAATTCAATCAAACTCATTTAATTAATCAAAATAATTATAAGGAAATAATCTTCATAAATACAAAAATAAATAATAATAATTTGTAGTATTAGTAGAAAAATTTGGGATGTTACAGTATTAAACAAGTCATACGTACACATGTAAATACAATAATCCCAAAGATACATTATATACCCTACTATTAGTCAAACACACCTATGCAAGTTACACAAAGTAGCACCGCCACTAACAAAATATCACACTTTTTGACAGCAGTTGTTCCTTAAGCCTAGCTTTGATCTACTCTCATATAATGTATAATCATCACAATCCAAACCACAATGAAAACAGAAGGGTAAGCTAGAGTTCAAAAACATGTATATATAGAAAATAATTTTATATCATATAACATTATAGACAAACATACATGAAAGTCAAGCACTCTAAAGTAAACATGTATCTCATTCACATGATATCAACCAAGATATCCATTAATGCATATGAAAATGCCATACCATACACCATATGCAAACATGTCAACCAATGTATCGTTACGTATTCACCTACAGAGATCTCCTAATAACATGGGTAGTCTAAGTGACTCCATTCTACCAAACAAATCCAATCATTTTCTCACCCAAAGCACTAGCTCGACCACAGTAAAGTGGGATACCAATCCCTCATCTAATTTCTCAAATATTGTCACTTACAACAGGAAAGTTCAATCCCATCATTATGAATAGTACAACTGGGTATAAGTTTACTACGACCTTAGCACGCATTACATTTTTCCTCTACTTAAGTCCTAGGTTAGCCAACATGCTTTAATCCCATATCGCACCCTCAATATCCACACCTCACCATACATCATCTATATACATCACATACAATCAACACATACAACACGAAAAATGGGCTGTTACACAAAACGGGTCGTTCCCTAATTGGAACGGGCCGTTCCAAACTACTAAAACGAGGATGATTTAGTAGACTAAAATGGGTTGTTCCCAAACTGGAACGGGCCGTTCCAAAATACAAAAATGTCTACAAATTTTAGATGGGAACGAGGCATTCCCAAATTGGAACGGAGCGTTCCAAACCACCAAAAAAAATTTGCAAATATATAGTTTTGATTCCTAAATTTTTTTTATTACAAATTTGATATATCTAATTTTTAAAATTAAGCAATATTGATTCACCATGAACATACTTCCAAGATTAAATAAAAAATGATGACATAGAATGGAAATGACACTACTTGACAATTACTTAACCACATTAACTTCTATGCATATAAGGAATAAAATTATTTTTAATTACATATGTGCTATCTTGTTTTTATATTTCAATGAAAACTCTTAATCTAGTAAAACAATTTTAGTCTTATTTTATAATAATATTATTTTTTCTGTCATAATTAACTAATTATCAGATCGTGTCACTCATATTCTACATATTCTCTGTTTAATTTTGTACTATATGTTGTTGGTCGACTTATATTACTTAATTTAGAAACCTATAAAGATCAAATTTGTAATAAAATTTTGAGGAAGAAAATTATATATTTAAAAGATCATAGAAATTAAATATGATTTTAATCTCGTGATATATGTTTAGTTATGTAAAAGGACAGAAAGTGCAACACAACTAATAAATTATATAACACTGATTATATATATCATTAAAAAAAAGGATATGCACCGTGTAAAACCTATCTTTCACAAAATACGAAAATTTGTTAATTTTGATAATAAGTTATACCAAAAAAAATGTGTATTTGATTAACAGCAGAATAACTCTTACACCAATAGTATAATTTATTAAATAGTTGTTATATTCCGTTGAATCAAACTAAAACAATGAGCCAAGTTGAGATAATTGCTAGGACTTGGACTCAATCAATCTTTATTGTAGTAGTATACAATAGGAAAAAGAAATTAAAACAAGGGATACACGGGATCCTTATTCGGATAGAAGACTCCAAAGTTGTTCTCAATTCCAGGTGCCTTGAGATTTTCATTGAACGTTTCGAAAATAAAAACATTCAAACCTTGGCCAGGTCTCCTTGGTGTCCCTTTCCCTGATTTCACATAAGCGATCAAGTTTTTGTTGTAATCCGCAGCGTTTTGTATGGTTGTGTAGGGCTCATTACCCGCAGTGGGCCAACCAGTTTCGGTGACAGTGAGAGTTATATTGGACACACCAATCTTCTCAAACGCAGCATGATAAGCATCAAGCTCTGCATCAAACAAATTATAGTACTGGAAGCTTCCATCAGTAACCACAGGGCTTTCTGACTTAAACAATGCATAGTCTAGAGAAATGTGTTGCGGGTCAGAGGCATAAGCATAGTAAGGGTACGTGTTGATATTAATGGGTGAACCATGTTGCAACAAAATGGCTACAATCTCTTTGATAACGCTTGCTGTGTCAGCGCTGAATGCTCCTGCTGAAGGTGGAAAAGAAGATGCTAAGACATTATCCTGTAGAATTGCGGAAACCTTTATGTCTTTGTGTATGCCAGCGTTAGTGAGTGCGTTTATCATATTTTTTATAGCATTTGGAACGTATGGTGATATAGGACCTGGTGTGACCTCGTTACCCAAGTTTATGTACCCGATATTGACGTCGTTTATATATGTATGGAACGATGTTGGTTTTGACCCATGCGTTGGCTGCGTCTATGTCTTGTGATATGTTTGGTACGTCTTCGTCTCGTGTTCCAATAGCTAGCACCAAAGATGAACCTCGAAGGGCTTCCAGAAGTTCGTGGTTTGGATCGAAGATTCGGAGGGATCCTATCTTGTATTTCTCGTACAGTGCCACGATTTCTTTTGCCGAAGGAAGGTTGTTCCCATTCAACCCAAGATTCACACCGATTGATTGAGCACCTGCAATTCACGAATACCATTAAAAAAAATATCTTAAATGATAGATGATTTGATAATATCTTAAAATAATAAGTTATAAGTCTAATTCAATCTTATAAAATTTATAAATTAAGAGTTGTCATCTATTTATATACTTTTTATTTATTTTATCTTTAGTCAATGTGAGACTTAAACTTTTCTCAATAAAATGAATTAAAAGTTACTCTTATTTTTTTATCAATCATTTCAATAATTATTCTTATAAATATATGTATTTGTTATTAATATTTTTATTAAATAATAAAATTATAGAAACAATTATTTTATTAACATTTTATTAATAGTAAATTTTGGTGTAGTGTAAATACATTTTTAATGTATTATTGATTAATCATTAATATTTTTATAAGATAATAAAATAGAGGTAATTAGTTTATAGTCATTAAATAATTATTACTTATAGTAAATTTTAGTGTAATGTAAGAAAATAAAATTTAGTTAAATTTACTCAAACTAATGACTTATTAATTATACATTGTATGGTATAGAGATCAAGGCATTTCAAAAGTACTTATTGTCAAAGTTATTCCACTCAATAATATTTTGTAAATATTAAATTTCAAGTTGAATATTTTGTTATCATCATAATAATTTTTAATATCAAATTTTAGAAAAATTAGACATTTATAAACAAAGAATCTCAATTTTTCCTCTTTTTTTTAACAAAATACATTACACGTTAATTTAAATTTATTTAAATAAGTGTGAAATGAATTTCGAACTTAATTTATAAAAATTGAAAACTTTACATTAGGAGTTGTTAAGTGATAACTCATTTTGTCCCATGAAACGTAATTTGAATATATGTAAAAAGTAATCTAACCGTAAATTTACATTACAACACGTGTATATTTATTATGTAAAAAAAGTGCTAGGAGTGATTTTTTAACCTCAAAACAAACCGGAGCGAATACAGTTGTGTCTAATTTAGTCACATCTTATGATATAAACTTGATTTCTTGAATTAATAAAACAATCAGTTTTATAAAATAAAAAAATAAAAAAAATAAAAAAAAAAGGCATCATAGTAAACGAAATCATCATAGACATAAAATTGTGTGCAACTTACTTGTAAGGGGGAATATTTGGATTAGTAAAATCGTTGTCATAGCAAACAACGTTCTTCCGCACTTGGAGTCCATGTTTACCAATTTTTAATTTTATGATCGAAAGAAAGAGATAAAATTAAAAATAAAGAATGATAATTAGATGTTTGGACAGTTTATGTGTCCAACAAGTATCGCTCTTATAAATTTAAGTATGATAATATGTTGGTGATTCACTCTTATATACATTGCTTGAGTTGAGGATATAACATTTCTCTATACCTATAAAGAAAGTGGGCATCTAGTTTGTGAGATTAAATGTGGTTTTCGGGAAAATAAAGTAATTTTTTAAAAATTTAAATCTTCCTTCAAAAAATTGATTTACTTTTTTTTTTTTTTATTTTGATTCCTTATAATAATTGTTTGTTTCAATTTAGTCCCACTTTTATTTTTTGTCTCAATTTGATCCCTAATAAATTAATTGGTCTCAATTTGGTCCCTAATAAATTAATTGGTTTCAATTTGGGACTTCCGTCCAAATTATTTAAACGGAGTTAACTGTGTGGCCACGTGGATACCACGTAGATGCATAGGTGGATGCCACGTAGATGTCAATTTTTTTTAAAACACCTGGAACCAGAACGGGCCGTTCTGGTTACACTTTTGGTGTGTTAATTTTGCATCCGGAACGGCCCGTTCCAGGTGCAAAATTTACACACTAAAAGTGCAACCAGAACGAGCCATTCTGGTTTCAGAACGGGCCGTTCTGGATCCAGACTGCTAAGCATAAACGATCATTAATTATAGTTCACGGTTGTGAATCATGGAAGGAAAAAGACTCAAGGTACAAAGCATTTCAAACACTGAATTTGGTAATATTGTCAATGGAAATTGATAACTTCAATTGTTAAACAGTTAAGATATACAGTGTATTATTAAGGACAATGCAATGTATGACTAAAGACAATGGTAGCAGATTTTATTTCATTTCAAACTGGAGTGAACCACTTACTACCAAATTGACACTATACAGTAAAGGATGAAATGACATAGTATTTTTTCTTGAAGTCATTAATGATGTACCCCAACAACAACAACCTGTTCTTGAAGAGTTAGAACCTAAAGTAAAGGAAGAGGATACACAGGACTAACATTTCACCACAACCATATGCAAGGACAGATATAAGTTAATCATAGTGGGGGCACTTGCCCCTACTAAAATTTTTTCATTCTTTTTTTTATATATAAAATATTAATAATTTTATAAAATATATATTATTAATTATATTTTAATTATGTTGTTATATCCAATATAATAAATATATTAATGTTTTTTATATTTTATTTTATTGTTTAATTTTTTTTTATTTTGTGGTAAAATTATCTTCATTTTTAATGAAGAAAAAATTTACTTACTTCAAGAGTAAGTCTTGATAGATTTATTCTACTTAATAATTAATGTTCTATATCAAATTTTTAAAAATTTAATTGTTAAATTAAAAAGTTTTTCATGTATAGATCAAATTTATAAAAAATTTTAAAAAATTAAAAATCATATGATACTTCGTTAAATTAATTCAAATTAACATATAAAATATTTTTGTTTTAAATGA